AGTGCGGAGGAAAAAGTGCGAGAGAAAATTGTGCTGAAATGAGTTTTTACCCTTTGTATTCAGATTTCCAGTTTTTTTTAATTTTTAACGCACGTTGGCAAAAAAAAATTCAACTTACTGTCTCATGTATCTTAATTGCGATTTTTCGAAAATCTCTGCTCTTATTTTATTTTTTTGAAGGAAAACAAGCCAACTTCACAGCTCGAAATTTAAATAGAATATCCAATTAACTGAGAGGAAACATCAAGGAAGCTTTAAAACGATTCATTTGACTAGTTCCTAAATGGAAAAACAAAGTATTACAGGAAATGTGCAACGTCGCAAACGGAGTTACGTGGTTTCGCACTTTCTCCATCGATATCTATCTTTAATCCTCTACTTGGATCGCGATACCTGCTCCATTGCAAAGTATCTTTTTCTGGATGTTTACAACAAATCATTCTTAATGTGCCTATGGAATATGAAATCGATAGGAACAAGCCTTTAAACCTCAACTTGTATTATTTACTCCCTAGAATCCTTAATAACCTTCTTAAAATTGTACTATTTTCTCTCTTACAGCTCCTATTCAAATTTGCAGTATCCAAACAGGATACAAAACCTGAGAAATTAATAAAAAAGTCAATAAATGTCCGAATCATTGCTTCCACCAAATTAAAATGTGAGAGCTTATTGTTCCTGTCATGCACAGCAAATCACATCTCTAATAATCTAAAACGAACTTTTCATATCTGATCACCCCCGAAGAGCACACAACCAGGGGCATGACCAGTTCTTGAGCTCGCTCTGTCCGATACATGCTAGAGAGCGGCGGTCGCGCTACACCTTGACTGACCCTCTTTTTTTCAGAAATTCTGTTGACGCTGGCGCAATAGCCTCTTTTATTTTTCTTACCAAATGGTTTTCCGGTTATTTGTAGGCGCGAGCCCTGTCATTTGAGTCTGAGCCCGGCATTTGTTTTAGATCATGCTTCATTCACGCTCGGCATATTCTTCTTCCTCCTCTGCTCCAACGTATGGGTTTTACTATTTCGGGTTTTGCACCGATTCGTGGAAGATTAATTTGTCACCTTCCGGCCAAAATATCACAAGCGCCATGCGACGTTTTAAAATTTCCGCCGCCATTTTATGTTTTTACAGAGAAACTGTTCAACGAAGCTGTCCGAAAATTTTATTGAATTTTATTTCTGCTGGCAATAAAATTCAGTAAATTAATCAAATAGATTCAACCGACATTTTCTCTGTAAAAAAATAAAATGGTGGTGGAAATTTTCAAACTTCGCATGGCGCTTGTGATACCTAGGCCAGAGGGTGACAAATTGAGGTATGTCAGTAGCTTATCTTCGTGGTGAAATCGTTCAGTCTCAGAAAAGAGCAGCTGAGTGACTGGTTACAAACACAAGTATTCGCAAGTTTCCGATCTCCATTAAAAGACTCTCGCCAATTTTGGTTTGTATGAAAAAAATACCCAGTGATGATCTGGCTCTTGCATTTGTGAAGGATATGCGATTTAAGTACTTTTTCTTACGTAAAATATCGCGAGAAAATACTGGAGTTCTCCGAAATCAACTCAAAAGCTTTAAAGAAAGCTCTTTAAGTTGAGGCCGTTATGGAGGGGATATCCCACACCACCCTGAAAGTCCACCTCCATATCAAGACGAACTCTCCATGCCACAGATGGGGAGCAAATATATCAGCAGGGTTGCCGTGTTTCCAATTTTGGAGTCCCCAAACAAAGTGGTAACCCGCCTCGCTCCCTATCATTACATGGAGAGTTTGACTTGATAAAGAGGTGGCTTCTTAGGATATAGCGTGGCAGCGTGGGTTATCCCCCTCACGGCCTAAACTTTGAGGGCTTTTTTGAGCTTTGGGGTTTACTTCATATACGTATTATTATACAGGTAGGAATACGGACAGGTCGATTATACACTCCACCCCAACCTAATGTAAATACTTGATAGTATTGTCAAGCGTTTTTCTAAAACATTGTACATAGGAAAAAAAACACATTGGATCTAGAGTCCAGACTCTTAAAAACATCGACAAGAAAAAGTACTCTTGATTCGATCAGAATCTAGCTTGAATCAAGAACCAAGCCTCTTAATTTAAGCGGATTTCGTTTTGATTCAAGCAAAAATCCGATTGAATAAAGAGTATTTTTTCTTGTCAATGTTTTCAAGAGTCTGGACTCTAGATCCAATTTGTTTTTTTTCCAGTGTATGTAACTTCAGGTACATTTTTCTCAGGAACTATATTTGACGTATAAGGCTCATTTTAAGAAAACAAAAAAATAAAAAAAAATAATAGTTTTGTATTCTGTTTCCAAGAGGGGTCCGAGGTTGTGAGGACACAAGACTGATCGTTGTGCGGTTCGGGAAGCGGAGAAAGAGTGATGAACGCATGCTACAAATGAATGAAATTTAATCAATGTTCCGCTGGTTTAGAGACACAGGACACAGATAAAGTCGCAGGGGTTCTTCATACATTTAAAAAAATAAGCAGTTTAATCAGTCAGAGCAGACTTTTACAAGTGTCTCCCTACACACCATTTGATGACACGGACGGCCTGTATATGATGCAACTATTCATGCGGTATGCAGAATGGAATTGCACGTTACGGAAATGAAGGGTTAGGTTTTCCCCGTTTTTATTTTACGAATGATTGGAGATGTTGCGGACTATACTGATACTAATAATGATGGTGTAATTCAATGAAACTTCGAGATCTGAGAGCGAAGAGCAGCGGAAAAATCAGCAAACTCCGATCCTAACGTGAGCTGCACGGAAATGATGCAATTTCTGATTCAACAATCATCATCAACAAGCAACTCGCATTTGCCTATTTTTCTATCCTTGTGTTAAAGTCTCTGAAGTGACTCCTACATTTTGCCGCCCAGGCAATCTCTCGTGTGGTTCAGCATGATCAAATTTTTAAGTTACGGAACCTTAGGAAGGTCTTTCTGTGAGGTCTGACACCGGCTGAAAACACTGCAACTGAGTCAAGGGCGAGCAGACACTCAGATTTTGTTGCACACAGGAAAAATTGATTGCTGTATGAGTTAACAATTAAATTGTTAAAAAAAAGTGTCCGACATGTTTCAATGTAGATTTAACAATAAAAAAACGCTAATTTAACCATCTCGTGGTTAAATTAACTTTCCACTATTGTAAAATGATATTTGAAACATGTCGAACATATTTTTTAACAATTTAATTGTTAAATCAGTGATCAATTTTTCCTGCGTGCAACAAAATCTGAGTGTCTGCTCGCCCTCGACTCAGTTGCAGTGTTTTCAGCCGGTGTCAGACCTCACGGAAAGACCTTTCTAAGGTTCTCTAACTTAAAAATTTGATCATGCTGAACCACAAGAGAGATCGCCAGGGCGGCAAAATGTAGGAGTCACTTCAGAGACTTTAACGCAAGGATAGAAAAATAGGCAAATGCTAATTGCTTGACGCAAAGAGACATTATCTTTAATAATTTGGCCATGCTGAACCACACGAGAGATCGCCTGGGCGGCAAAATGTAAGAGTCACTTCAGAGACTTTAACGCAAGGATAGAAAAATAGGCAAATGCGAGTTGCTTGACGCAAAGAGACATTATCTTTAATAATTTGGCCATGCTGAACCACGCAAAAGTGTTGTAAATCTTCAGTGACACACATTTGTTCTTTGCCTTTAACTTCGATCGGAGGAAAACATATGATTTGCAACGGGTACGACTGATACAGTTCCGGATGTAGCTACATTAAAGTATAAACAAGAGTATTCCGAAATTGTTTTAAGAAAACTGTGCGGACCACGTGAGATTACGCTAAAAATTGTGCATGTAGACACACTTTTACACTTTTCAGCAAATCAAATTCTTAAATATGCTAATCGATTACGGAACCACAAAAATTCCTCTAATTTAGCTTTTTGGGATAGGCAACCTTCGGTGTTCAATTAAAGTATTTTTATTAGCTGTAGCGCAAATATTCCGTTCATCAAAAATTACAATGTAAAATTGACGAACATTTGGTGAAGTGAGCGGAGATGAAGATGAAAATGCTCAATCCGAAACCTCGGAAAATTAAAAACATTTGATGCGTTTCGAACGAATGTCAATGATTTTTATCCCGAAAAAAAAAAAACTCCTTTGCCGCAAACGATTCCGATCAGGGAAATGTTATTTTTTGGCCCACCCTACCGTTCATAAACAATAGAGATAGGACGCATGCATAAGGAGAAAGAGAGGCCATTTCGAGAGGGTTAGAGAAGGGGAAGGTTCTATGGAAATTTGTTGGTGTTTTGACTAATATTAGGAAATTTTCAGCTCAGAGGAAAGATATTTATGGTGTATAATAAATTAATGGCCTTTTTTTTTTTTTTTTTTTTTTTTTAGGAGAAGAAGTTTATACTACATATTTGATGAGTGTATCAAGAGAGGAGGGTAAACATTCTCAAATTCCGTTTGTCGGCGTTACCTAAATTACAAAAACCCCTTACAATGTTGTCATGCGAACACTAATATGTACACGGAGAAAAAAAACTCGTGCGTGGGACTCGAAGTTTAGGTCATATGGATCTCTGAAGTTTTCAGATTGAGCATCTGAACACTTTAGGTCTAGCTGCCGAAGTTCGGATCATACATCTGAAACTTCAGTTCTTACATCTGAAGTACTTCAGATGTGAGAACCGAAGTACTTCGGATGTGAGAACCGAAGTACTTCGGATGTGAGAACCGAAGTACTTCAGATGTAAGAACTGAAGTTTCAGATGTATGATCTGGACTTCGGCAGCTAGACCTAAAGTGTTCAGATGCTCAATCTGAAAACTTCAGAGATCCATATGACCTAAACTTCGGGTCCCACGCACGAGTTTTTTTTTCTCCGTGTATAAGGGCTCCTCCGTTGTCATTGTGGGGCATGACTATAGCGTTTCGTATTCATACTTTCCAAGTTATAACTTCTTTGTTAGTATGTGATAATATGTATTCATTGAGAAACACTGTTCGACCGTAGAGTTTCAAGATTGTTTATTTAATATGTACAGTATATCACAATCCATAATCAGAACGCAAAATTAGAGACTTATGTACAGATTATTTACACAAAGAACGGGAAAAGAAAAGAAATATGAGACAAAGAGAAGAAAAACAGATTTTATGATATCACAGAATCCTTATCCACGTTTGAGTTGTCAAACGTTGCAAAAAAATGAAAACAAAAACGGACATAACATAACAATTAATTAAATATTTGACATTTTAAGTCAAAACCTAAATTTAACCTAATTTACTTAAAGAAAGCATATTTCCTCATATGAAAATAACTAAAATATGAAACAGGAAAATAAACTGAACACAAAAAATTTAAAGTTACTCTCACTTTTTAAACGAGAGAAGAGAGAGTTTTTCCAACTACTGTCAAATCACAATTGAAATTTTTGTATTTTGCCTGTTTAAAGAATGTGAGCCAACCCTTTGAAAGTCATTGAAATTTCCGGTAACGCGCAGTTCCTCTCATCAAAATTTAAGAGAGTCACTGCTGGTGAGATATTTTTTAGAGTAGGTTATTTTATCATTTCCCTTTACTAAAATTTTCTAGAAGTATCATTCATAATAAATCGTAAAGTTGAAAGAATGATATGGAAGACACGGTGAGAAAAGAATCACATTTGTTCGTTGTGCTTTGAGTTGAAAATAGAGATGAAACGGAGAAAGTGGCGACTCTTGAAATTTGGCAACACTGTTTTTCTTCCATTTAAATGTATGAAAACAATCGAATCTTGGTGAGACTACTTGCCTCACCTAAAATCGATATTTATAATGGATTCAAATGGAGGGGAACAGCGTTGCCAACTTTAAAGCATCGCCACTAAACGGAAAGCCTTCAAAGAAAAAGATAATCTCCTGTTAACTCTATGATAGAAATAAATATGTTCGCGAAGAAAACAGGAAGTAACATTTTCACCATTTGAAGTGGTAGTGCAAAGATTTAGACAATAGTCTGTATTTTTCCGCATGCATCATAATTTTATAATTTTAACCAATAATATAGATATTAGAAATAGACAATGGGAAACTTTAATTAAAGTTTAAAGTAAGGAGGAAGTAAAAGCTAAAAGTAAGAGGATTTTAAGATCAAGGGATTGTTGACACTCTAATACTTGCAATTCCCATTTTCAGTGGTTCGATTTTGCCAGAAGCCCTTAACTTAGAATTGCATCGTAATAGTTTCATAAATATTTTCCTTCGAGTACTATGTCCTCAAGTTGTAGCAGTTATTAACTTGTTTAAATAATACATCCCCTTCTAGTATTGTAATAAGATCAGTGTCTTAACAAAAGTACCTCATTTTGGCTCTCCACAATGCTTTGCATCTCGGAATTGACGGGCTATCACTCTCAACAGCATGTAAAGTTGCATCATGTGCGTTTGAAGGAGTTTTCTTTCTCAGATAGATGTAATCTCCATTCAAAGAAATACATTCTTTACTAACTATCCCCATAAATTTTACGATGAAACGTTAAAATGTCAAGTTTTATTCATCTGTAAGTTACAAAAATTGTCTCTTAGTGGGTGACTCAAGAAAAAAAAGCTAAAAAAGTTCACAAAAGAAAGTAAATGGGAAATGTTAAGAACTTGTTAAACCTCATTCTTACAAAAATAGAAAAGTATAAAAATATAGTAGCGACAGACGTATTCGAAAGAAAATTCTCCCTCATTCTCTGAGAATATATTAAATGTTACAACATTTTATATATACTTTGAAAAGTGTGGCATCCTAAACTCGGAAACAGAACACCATTAGATCAATACAAATCATCTAAATCTGTACCAAATTTTTTCGAGAGGAGGCTAAAAATGGCTGCTGTTAATCTTATGAAATTATGACGATGCAAAAAATCAATAAGTAGCTGAATGAAAATGGAAAAAACTCTCTCAATGAACAAACATTTAAAAGCAACGCAAATTTCTTGTTTTAAAAAATATACGTAATGCTTAAGGATGTAAAATAAAATCTAATTTGTATCAACTCTTGACTTGAAACTCGTAGGATCTAATTTTCCAATGTCCATGAAAGTATACAAATGTGACGACGAACGCCATTGCTTACGTGTAAGTTTATCGGTAAAAAATTCATTGTAAAAAATTCACAATCGTTCCACAACTTATTTCATGATCAAAATGTAAGAAAAGAACCTTTTCACCACAAGTGAAAGTAAAAAGAAAAATTGTTGGTGGAGCAAAGGAACTGTCCCATCAAAAATAAATCGTCCTCTTTCGACGAAATCGTCCTTTCAGTTTTTGTCCTTGGGGGACGATTTATTTTTACAATGGTGGTCAAAGGATGGGGTCTGAAATAACTAATCTGAGGCATAATTGGATGTATTTATACTAAAAGGAACTATGTACAAATGATTTGCATGAGACAAAGTTCCTTTTAGCATAAATACACCCTATTCTCAAATTTGAAGAAAGCATTTTCAAATTTTCACCTCCTGTGAACGGTCAAATAATCATGTGAATAGCTCTGGAAGATTGCTATGATGTATGACCTTGAAAAAAAATGGAAACTTAAGGAGGCAGAGCCCATATTAATAAAACTTTTTTCCTTGATATTTTCGAAACTATTATGACATAATCTCAATTCTGTTAGTTCCACTCCAATAAAATCGTCAACTTAGAATTTTTTTAATCAGAGATGCATATGTGACCGCCTGTTGGGAAAGGAACTTGAGTCCAAAAACTCAAACTTGAGTCATTGATGGAGGCATAAAGGAGTGTTTTACAAAAGGAGTCTGGAGAGGAAACTTCAAAAATATGAAAAACAATTTTTTTTTAAAAATTCCGTTACCCATTTGCGGTAAAATTGTTGGATAAAATGTTTTACAATTTACAGTTCAAGAATCGTCTCGTCAACGAAAATGAATTTAAGGTTCTGATCTGCCATGTTTGAAGCTCAAAATTGACGAATGTAAATGGGACCTTATTCCCTCTGTCGGTGTAAAAAAAGAGGGAAAAAAATAAAAAAGAAAGAAAGAAAAGAAAAGGATCAAGTGTATTCCATTAAACACTAGAGTCAATTTCTCCTCGTAATCTCAACATCCGATTTTTCGACGGCAGAAATCACTTAACTGAAAATTATGTCATCATAGACTCAAGTCCTTTTCGTTGTGAACGGTCACACATTAGAATGTTATTAGTTGGGCTCCATTCGCTCATTTTAGAAGAATTTATCACAATTTTGCACTGAAAAAACCTTTTAAATATACGGAAAATATATTCAGCTGAGGTAATAATAACAAAAAGTTTTATAATAACATCAAAAGCTGGGTAACTCAAACACTTTTGAATGCAGTCACAAAGTGTCTCAATTTTATACATCTCTCCAAAAGAAGTTTCAATGTTTCTTATGATCTTGTAGATTCGTGGAAAAATTCTACTACTTAATTCATTTCCTTAGACAAGTAGACGTTGTACCATGGTATGTTGGCGGATTCAGCAAGGTGACAACATTGATTTCGCTCCATTTAAACCTATGGAAATGTATCGATTTTTGATAGGACTGTGTGCCTCTACAAAAATCGATTATTCAGCACAGGTTTAAACGAAGGAAAGCCATTTTTTTCCAACTTGATGAATCCGCCTCTGCCATGGTACTTCTGGCAAACCTTGTACCAGTGGCGTGACGTGTTTTGCGATGTATAGATTGATTTGCCATTTAAACCTATGGAAAAGGATCGATAAACAAGGTGTTCACAACGAACACCTTAATAATCGATTTTTTACCACAGCCTCAAATGGGGAAATCTTGAAAATCGATCATTCATGCCTCGCCACTACCTCGTACTAACATTAAAATTGGTTAAAACGCGGTAAAATTTCCTGGTGTGCAGCTGATTATACAGAGAGTACTTTTTAAAATGTACATCCTTCAGTCATCATTTTATTCAAAAATGAGCCAAATGAGTGAGTGGTGCTGTTTCACAGACACGGTGATTCTGTCACTTTAAATTTTCTTAAACAGATAAACTAATTTACGATATTGTAAAATTAACAAAAATGGAAAATTCCTCTATTGTAACAATTGCTTCTCTTAAGTATAAAAAGTAAGTTTCAGTTGTAGTTTACCAAGAATTTGGTGAAACATTTTCCTATTTACAGAAATTACACGTTTTTAATTTGAGGTACACAATCGTAGACTATATTGACAACAACCAATCGTTTTTCCCTTTTCCCGGCAAGCGAAACAAAAAGCCCTACAGTCCTACACAACCTTTGTGCGTTTAATTCGATCAAAAAGCACACAGAAGTAGTAATGGGAGTAATCATCAGCTTTTAAGTTAGCTCTGAAACTTTCAATAATTCAACTTTCCGCTGTCTTTTGTAAAATTCGATATCTTTAAGCTTCAGAAGGAATATTTCATTTAACATCATATTTTTTTTCCTGATTCTCTAATGGAGCTTAGAGAGATGTTAAACAGAATACAAGCATTACAACCTTATAATATTAAAATTTATTTCTCTCCGATGAACATTTGCAATGAACTCCCCGACTTTGTTATGTGTTTGTTCCAAGTATGCTCTTGACAAACTCATGAGTCTACATTCGTCCGTGCTCAATGTTGAACACGTTCAGCTCCGATAAAATGTTATGGGCAAAGAAATTATTATTCTGCAGAAAGGATCTATTAAAAAATTGGCAGATGATATTACACTTGTGCATGGATTTTGTGCAGCTACGTAAGTTGGTTGTATGATTAAATCCTCCCAACCGCTCATGAAAAGTTGACTTCATCCCTCTATGCATGCTTACATGTATGCATCAAAATTACTGCTCTGTAGAAATTGTGTGATCTTTATGATGCATTTTCTCGACTCCCTCTGCTCCACACTACAAATCTCAGTCTAGAATCATTCTATTACTTTAAACCACGCCCTTTCAAATGAGGGCCAATATTACAACTACTACCTAAATTTCAATTGAACAATCGACGGTTTGATATTTTCAGCTTACGTGAAAGATAAACTGACGAGACATCCCATTTATTATGACGGTATAAAAATTTCGGTGAGGTCCTGTAAGTATCTGCAAGTATCAGCTAATTATCTCCAATTAGGAATCCTTCCATGAACTTAAAATATGTTACTCATTTTAAATTGTGCTCTTTTTTATTGATGGTAAACATTTTTGGAAAATTGAACGGCTTATTTTAAAGCGATATGATATCTGTAACCGATCATGTGAATTTATTTTTAGGTATCTGAAATAGTAGAGCGTTCATCAATGTCATACTGAGATCATATTTGAACGATATTGAAAGTTCATTGGAAGATTACTTAAATGACAAACAATTAATTTTCAACACTTCTCATTCAGGAACAATCCATCGATAATTAATTAGGCTTTCGTTAAGTTAAAAGTAAGGTAACTATTTTAAATGGGGAGGAAGCAAATTAAGTGCATTCTATCACTCGTAGCTGGGAACTTTCTATGACGGAGGGCCTCGAAGCTTTCTTCGGGTTTTTATTCGAGCACATCTGCTGTTGGTGAAGCTGCATATCTTGCGAGCCGTATTCTACTGTTGAATCCATGTCCTGACCTTCTTTCTCGATTGCGACATCTGTAAAAATAATGAAAAAGATAATTGTAAAATAATAATCAAACAAAAAATGAAAAATTAAATTTAGTATATTTTATACTTAAAACATAGTTCTGTATTGGTGCTGGTTGTTTTTGAAATGTCATAGATACACATGAGGTTTCGAGACATTGAAACTACATCCAAACTGGTGCAGTTGAATGTTTTAAATAATAAATTCCAACGTTCAATACGATATTCTTTTAATTATCATTTATATTGACGAACCAATGAAGGACTGGAAGTTAGATCACACCGCGTGTGACACTCGTCGTGAGAGGCGTGGCGTGCTTTGCGATGTATCGATTGATCTGCGATTTAAACCTATGGAAGAGGATCGATAAACAGGGTGTTCGCAACGATCACCTTAATAATAGATTCTTTACCATAGCTCTAAAGGGGGAAATATCGATAATCGATCATTCACGCCACGCCACTGCTCACCGTGGTACTCGTGTATAACTCGGGTATCGCTCTAAGTCGCATTTTTTGGAAAAACAAGTCAGAACAATACTATCGTAAATTTTCTCCTCAAATATTCAAAGTTGAATACAATTAAACGACATTAAATTATCGTTAAACTTTGGCCTCAATATCCGGTCTAATGGAGGAATAAAACTTCAACCCTCCTCTCCATTCAAATTTGATGTTTATCTGACAAAAAATTCCACCTTCAATCAATTAGTACCTATGGTATTAGTATTACTCACCCAGGCCCCCAACATCGGACGTCACAAAATCACTATAGCTCGCTAACGACAGTTCTTCATCAAAATTTTGTGGACGGCAGCATGTCGTTTTCCAATGAGTTCTAGAGAAAGTAAAAAAATCAAGATTCAATATTTGGATGTTGAAAACACAGAAAAAAAGTAAAAACGATAGTAAAGAAAAACATTCGATTCGAGCTCAGAGGTGATTCTGATCACCCCTACTTTTTTACCGCAAGGTGTACTGGTGTCAAGATGACAAATGCATTTTCTCAAAATGAATCAATGGAACCTTTTCTTTTCTCAAGGCATATACAAATCATTTTAGAAAGCCGTTTTTCTTTACTCCTGTATATAGCATTGCAAATTTCAAACTTGCGGATCTCCGCCATTAGGTGTCATCTCATAAAAATCTGAATGAACCTATTGTGTATTGCCATTATCATTTCACAGGAAAGATTATTGTTTATCTGTAATCATATTTAAATATTTATGCGCCCAGCGTATGATTCTCCAAATTTATCTTACCTGAGACCACTGGCACTGATGTATTTTTTGCTACAGCCTTGGCATAAATACGGCCTTTCGTTGGTGTGAAGCCTTTTGTGCAGTTTTAAATGGACGAACTGAGTGAACTTAGCGGGACAAAGGTCACACGCGTAAGGTTTTTGTCCGGAATGTAGTCTTAAATGAGTCTTTAGATTTGACGTCGAACTGAAGCGCTTCTTGCAAATGTCACACTGGTGAGGTTTTTCACCTGCAAAAAGAGGGATTCAAATCATGTAAGGAAATTAGAAAATAAGGCATACAACAAAGAAGAAGGAGAGAACCAAAGAAAATAACCATGATATGGCAATATGCGGGGCTTTGGACCACGAATATTTGCATCTAATGGTTTTATCACTTCCGCTCTGGCCCGGCACAGAACTGGTTGACTCTCAATCTCTCGGTTCGCCTTCAATAACCGTGATGGCAATATGAGCTACTTTGAACTTCGAAAAGTGACCAAGGTACGAATTGAGGCATTCTGATACATGTGTTTTAACCAAAAATTCACTTAGGGCACGATTTGCGCAACGAAAATTACTGAAATGAACTTCTAACCATTTAACGTTTTTCGATACGTGAATTCAAACTTCCCGCTTATGGAAAAACAAAAGTCTACCCGAGACAAATTGCGCACCAAACGTTACCGTAACAGTCTCTGCGGTACGAACATATAGCAACCTCTATTTCACGGCTTCGGCCTAGCTATTGCGCGTTGTTAACGCTTTGATAACACAAGGCGGGGAAAGAAAATTGCTCGGAGAAAGAAAAAAGCTACTCCCCCCCCCCAAAAAATGCAGCATTTCCTCAAATTAAATTGTTATATTATACCTAAATATAGAGCTGCTTTTATAGCACTCTCTGGCGCTCTGCGACAAAATAGTCGCCAATGTTCCTTATCCTCCCAAAGCTCTTCAGGGAATTGGCACACCCTCAGTTGGTTTTCTTCGAAAACCCCTTATCGCCACCCTTTCACTGGGCGTCCCCCTCGTCTCCTCCCAAGAGGAACCCAATCAAGCATCTTCTTCGGCAGCCTTTCGTACGTCACTCTATTGACATGACCATACCAGACAAGCTGTTGTATTATTAGTTGTAGAATTTAGTTGAGAATGGAGATGTTGAATGTGTGAGGAATTTGCGATTTGACCGTTGATTCTTATGTAAAAGTTTCCGAGAAACACGATGGTGCCACTGGTTTTCTCTGAAATCAACTTCCAAGCTCAAAAAAAGCTCTTAAGTTGAGGCCAAAATGGAGGGGATATCCCACCCTACCCTGAGAGTCCACCTCTACATCAAAACAAACTCTCTATACATAGATAGGGAGCAAATACATTAGCAGTGATTCCGTGTTTTCAGTTTTGGAGTCCCCAAATAAAGTGGCAGCCCTGTCAATGTATTTGCTCCCTATCTTTGCATGGAGAGTTTGTCTTGATGTAGAGGTGGTCTCTCAGGATATTGTGAGATATCCTTTCTATTTTGGCCTCACTTTGAGAGCTTTTTTTGAGCTTGGGAGGTGATTTCAGAGAAAACCAGTAGCACCATCATGTTTCTTGCGAACTTTTACATAAGAATCAATGGTCGAATCGCAAATCCCTCACACATGCAACATCTCCATTCCCTCCATATTTTTTCGTATATTTGGGCAATTTTTTTGTGCTTTATCGTTGAGCTGAAACATTAGTAGTGGAATTTAGTTGAGAATTTAGTGGTATAATCTCTCACCTGTGTGAACCAAATGGTGCTTCTGGAGATGCGCCAGCTGGGTGAAACTCTTGGTGCAGACGGAGCACTTGAAGGGCCGCTCGCCGGAGTGAGTCCTCAGGTGGACCTTGAGGTTGGAGAGCTGCCCGAAGGTCTTGAAGCAGACGTTGCACTCGTAGTGCATCTTCCCGTCCTTCTTCTTCAGCGGGTACGGGAGCGAGCGGTAGCCCCGCCCCTGGCTGTTGGGGCTCATCGGGCTCCCCACCCCGCCCCCGCCGCCCTCGTCCGGCGACAGGGGCGCCGTCACCGACACTTGGAGGGGCGCCAAGGGCTTGAGCACCGGGAGACCCGTCGAACAGGAGGTGCTTGGGTACGAGGTCGACGACGCCGGTGAGCCGTGGTTCAGGTGCGGGTAGTAGTAGTTGCTCGAGTAGCCGAGATCCCCGGCCTCGTAGGAGGAGGGCGCCGCCTGTCGGAGGAAACTTGTATTAGTATCAGAGTAGTCGAAGATCATAAGTATACAGAGACTAAAAGAGACCTGGGTGCCGCTCAAGGCCAAAAAAAACCCAATAAATATACACGGTTAGAAAGCTCTATTTAAGAGGAACATTAATTGCATGGCTCGGTGAAAACTAGACTGATATAGCAATTACGTCATTCAAATTTCGATATATCCGATGATTCCACTAGAACAAAAATGGACTGTTTTGATACTGATCGTTTTGCCTCGTTTTTCAAGAGCGGCACTGTTTAACGTCGATATACTGCATAACGTAGCTACTCAATCAGTCTATGCCAGATGATCCAAAGAAGCTATTTCAACCGTAAAATTTTAATAAATCGTCACCCACCGACCAACATATCACAAGCACCATGCGATGTTTAAAAATTTCCGCCGCCATTTTGTTTTTACATAGAAAAATTGTTGAACGAAGCTGTCCGAAAATTTCACTGAATTTTCTTTGTGTTTCCGATGAAATTAAGTGAAATTTTCAAACAGATTCAACGAACAATTTCTCTGTAAAAAAAGGAACTTTTGAAACGTCGCATGGCGCTTGAAATACATTGACCGAAAGGTGACGAAATTAACCCTTAGATGACTAACCGTTTTTATCTACACGAATGCCTAACCCGGGTCTGCAAGGCCCGTATTGAGAATGTATGGTTATTTGATTGCTGCGATGCTTTTTCTACGCTTTTTGAAGAATTTAATGATTTTTATACTTCGTCTTCTACTGCCAAGGCCCAAAATTGTCCTTCCACCGATAAACTGCCCCCCGTCCCCCTCTAGATCGCCCCCCTCTCTCCCCAGTCCCCTCAGATCTAGGAGCTTCTCACCATAAACACACCTTTGTATACTTTTTGAGATTTTAAGGAAGTTAAATTGAAGAAACCTTATTACCCCTACAAGTATACTTGAATTTGAGAGGGAGGAGAAAAATACTTGAATTTATAACCTTTTGTGCTGGCATGGACTCTTGCCCGACGAACTTCTCGGCGGTGGAGTCCGGGCTCATGGGGAGGTTGCTATACCGATGGGACTTCTTGTACGAGTAGGCCATCTCCGTGGGCGAGGAGGCGCAGGGCGGGGGACTGGGCGCCCCTCCGGAGCCGAGCGCCCCTTGGCCGAGCTTCTTCCGCATGAGGATGTTCTCCAGGATGGAGGTGGGCGCCCCCTCGCGCTCCTCGTCGATCATGAGCGCGTCGACGTCGGTGTCCGGCGAGGGGCACGGCGAGGGGGACCGCGAGGGCGCCGCTGGGAGGGGCGCCCCCGCCTCTTTCTCCCGCGAGTACATGTACGAGGAGGCCCGGAGCATTTTGATCTTGACCTTTCGGTATTCGTTGCTCCTGTCCAGATCCTCGCCGGCCTCCTCCAGGAGCTCCGCGTCCGCTGGCTCGTGTGACGCTTCTGCTGGCTTTTTACTGAAAAAGAAAAATATATTCGACGTATTTCTGTCAGACGGAACTATGTGCATTAGGACATGAGCCCTGAGACGCCTAAGAATATATGTTAAACAGGGCTCATGCCTAATGAGCATAGTTTCGTTTGGCAGAAACACGTCCAAACCATCTCAATAAAGATATACGCTTTTAAAGTTTTTAAATCGTGTCCGACCTCTTCCATTGACTTGATCTATTGTGCGCCGTATGAGCCTCCAGACGTTGCTAAATTTTCTGTGGCAAATCACGAATTTTTGGAAAAATCTGTAAATATTTTTCTCCCGATTTCCCAGAGAATTTTGTTCGTCATTTGATCTAAAATTTGTGAAAATTTTGAGGAGGGACATTCATAATTTTCTTCGAAAATGGATATTTTCTGAGAGAAAATTTGGCAACACCTGGAAGCTCATACGGCGTTCTTTCTTAGCACGGCAGACTAGCCTTACGGCTAAGAGCATTCACTACGTTTGGATGCGACAAGCCGGTTGCATCATTGGTATATGAAGGCGTTTTGAAGACCTTTTGCCGAGCTATTCAGCGACTTCTTCTCTGCTGTTGGCATTGCTGCTAGGGCATTTCCAACTGAGAATTTCACTAATTTTATTTCTGACTTCTCAAAAATCGGAAAAATTTTAGTTAAAAATTTTTCGGATATATGTACATTCTTCCAAGAAATTGAATTGTATGAGCCAATTTTGCATTATTGGAATGGAGTTACATTTCTTCGCATGCGGAACGACGTGTTTTTATTGTTGACTCGCCTCAACAAATTAGTAGCCTCGGCGTGATAAAAACCGGAAAATCGGAAATTTCTAACCAGAGACAAGAGACCCTCCACTAGTATCTTGGCAATGGTGGAAGCTTTTTCTTTCGGGAAAACAACATGTTGCCGTTGATTAACAGCATGTTGGTAGTTTCGTTTTGCAAACAAGCTGCAGTTTGGGAAACTTGTTTGGCTCCTGACGTCACCCGAAGCCCATCATCCACCATGTAGGAGTAGGTAGGTCAACAGCCGAAAAAGAATGATGCCTGCGGGCCGATTATTGAAAGTTCAAAGCAGCCCGATAAGACATCGAAATCCGATATATTGCATAGTTAAGATAGGGCTATATCTTGTCTTATCGTGCTGACATGGTTTCAACAATCGCTCCGCTGATGCTTTCTTATAATTGTCCAGAAGAAGTGTTGATCCCCGAAAGTAAAACCTCCCACCTGTCACCAAGAGGGAAGCGGGCCTATTATTGAACTGTATAGACAAAGCTATAGACAAAGCAGATATAAGGAGTATAGATCGATCCTATTGGTTGAAATGTGTGGTTCATATTGACTAAGGGGATAAACGATAGACTAACTATCGGGTTTACTCGTGAGTTGCCGTTAGTTAGTCCATTACCTACGTCCTTTGTCCATTACAACCACCCGCTTCCACCGATAGGATCCCTCCATATCCTTAATGTCTTCTTTGTCTATTGCTTTGTATAAAAATGTCAATAATCAGCCTGCGGTGGAGGGTCTCTTGTCTCTGTTTCTGTACACAGCTATCTTGGGTAAGACGGGAGTATTCGACTTACCTAAAATCTAAGACATAGTTATTGTCCCCCTCCTCGGAGTCGCTGCACTCCTGGGGCGACGCGAGGACTTCATCATGGTACCCGTTACTGTGGTAGCCCTCGTCGGACCTGACGCTCCCACTCTGGTCGAACTGGCAGTGCTCGGGGGGTATCCCGTGGGAGGCCTGGAACTCCTCCATGCTCGGCTCCTTGAGCAACTGCTCGTCGGGAGTGTCGCCGAGCTGGACGCTCATCTCCCGCCAATCCCCGCTCCCGCTCTGGTGCTCCGGGTACGCCAGCTCCGGCTTCATGAATTGCGGCTCCGGGTACTTGCACTCTTGGGGGTGGAAGAACTGCGAGCTCGGGTGGGTGCTGGGGGTTGTGTGGGCGGAGGGAGTTGTGTGGGATGTGTGGGGGATGGAGGCGGGTGTCGGGTGGGAGGAGGTGGAGGAGGAGGAGGAGGAGGAGGCGGTGTACTTGAGGACGCCGAGGCTCCTGGTGGTCGGCGAGCTGCGGGGGTGTTGATCTGCCGTCTCGGGTGGGGCCAGGGCTGGGTGCTGACTGCAGTATTTGACTTGCTGACCTGCGGGAGGAATGACGAGTTGATCGAGAGGTGTATTACACATCGACTGTGTTAAGCAGAAAAGAGGCAAGCTACACGGAGAAAAAAACTTCGTGCGTGGGACCCGAAGTTTAGGTCATATGGATCTCTGAAGTTTTCGGATTGAGCATCTAAACACTTTAGATCTAGCTGTCGAGGTTCGGATCACACATCTGAAACTTCAGTTCTTACATCTGAAGTACTTCGGTTTTCACATCCGAAAAACTTAGGTTCTCACAACCGAAAACTTCGGTTCTCACATCTGAAGTACCTCAGATGTGAGAACTAAAGTTTCAGATGTGTGATCCGAACCTCGACAGCTAGATCTAAAGTGTTCAGATGCTCATTCTGAAAACTTCAGAGATCCACATGACCTAAACTTCGGGTCCAACGCACGAGGTTTTTTTCTCCGTGTACATCAGCTAATGTCAAATGGATCGCGTTTAGCAGAAAGGAACCAAGCTACGTCAGCAATTGTCAAATTTAACTGGGCGATTTAATTCTTTACAAGAGAACGTTTTTGCGGAGCCCTTTGAAAATGTTAAGGAATTTGCTTCATAATATGCAGCAAATTCACTGAAATTCGCACGAAAATCCGCGGAACCGTTTACATGTAAAAAATACTGCCCATTTAAATTTGGCAATAGCTGATGTAGCTTGGTTCCATTCTACTCAACGCGGTCCAAATTCAATTGGGCCATTTAGTTTTTTACGTGAAATAGTTGTGCGGATTTTTGTGCGAATTTCAGTGAATTTCCTGCACAGTCCGAGGGGCATTCCATAAAATTTTTGAAGGAATCCGCACAAAACATCGTGGAAAAAATTGTATAATTTTGTTGTCTTGTAAAAAATAAATTGCCCGGTTTTTGGTAATAGCTGATGTGGCTTGGTTCCTTCGTCATTCATATAGTAGAACTACATTTTTACAGGGAACTACAATTTCTGTAATTTCTAAAACAAAAAACAAAAAAAACAAAGTTGATCTGTGGAAATGTCCTTCCTGCGTCATGTAATCTTGCTGTGCGAGCGCCCTCGCACTATGGCCCTCCCCTAGGGGATATAAATTTCACGGATCTCCAGCACTAAGGAGGAAACTAAATTCATAAGGAGGATTCAGCCGCTCATCAATAACATAACTGCTACAAAAACCGTTGTACCATTCTATATTTTCTCTGATTTCTTTAATCATATTTCTTGAGTTAATAGCAGTTACTCCCAAAAAATCTTATTCATTTCTTCATGTCGTTTATTAGCCGCATATTATTAAGACTCATACCTCATGAAATGAATTTTTTTAAAACAGCAAATACTGAAATATGCACTTTAATCAATGGGAAAATCTGTCTCAATGTGCTTACGTATTTTCTGCATCATTAACTCTCCACTGGATGGATAGTTGAGCCGCTCAGCAAACTCCCGGCAGTACCATACGAGCAGCTCTTGGTTCGGTAAAATTGGCCGAATGGTGTAAAAATAAATATCCATCTGAAATGTTCATAAACAAGTGATTACTTCATATAAACGATCACTAAATTTTCGAATATGTTATTCGTCGCAATAATTTTTATGGTAGAAGGTGCATTACATGATTCAAAACGAAGCCATGTATCAGTGGTATCGTAGACACCCAGCCAGAAAAAGTATGGACGGACAAAAGTTTAGAGATCAAGCAATTCCTACTGATTTCACGAGATTTTTAGATTTTGTGTAGAATTTTGTGTGTAGAATTGTTTAACTATTTCTGATCGTGATTTAATGTAGTATGAAAACCTAATTAGAGTACTCAAATAAGAAAACCAACTGTATATGTGCAACCATGACATATACTTACTGGATCATTATGCAGGAGGGTTTGCTCGACATACAGAGTTGAACTAACTACCTACTGAACTTGAACCTGAACTATTGAACCTCATAGAAGTCTCAGGAATATTGTAAAATGAAGGAAATTAGAGTAATCGAGCCCAGCACTTAATTTATAACTATATTCTCAGCATTGGATTTTTTATGGTCCAGTAATAAATACCTTGTATTGACATGCTATTAGGTTTTGTGACTGGGCTGAATATGCAGGATTTACATATCGCATCCAGTTAGATTTGGTAACGTCATAACCGTCTATGTAGTAAAAAAGTTGATTATCCCTGTCCTGTAACAAAAAAAGTTGGAGGCCAGATAAGAAATGAGAGTTATAATTTGAAGAAGTTTACATAGCTTCAAAAAAGTCCTGTCTCTAATTGCTGTGCACACTGATAAAAGGTATCTGAATATTTTGATAAGAGGCCATCTTCTGTAAACAAAAGAGCGAAAAGAACCATTTTAAAATTAATGTTTTGGTGACTTATCAAACCTGAAGACCTTTTTTTTAGTGCAGAGTGGCAACGAGTCAGATTGGGGCCAACTCCGAAATTGTCGCTCTTGCGGTAAGGACTGTGGAGTAGATTAAAGGCGAGTTGGTGATGAAATCTTTTCGAAACTTGTACACACCGAAAGATCGGAAAAAATACATATTTCTTGTAAATTAATAGAATATCTACCAAGGTAAAACTGTCAAATAATGTAAATTCTAAGTGGTAGTCCAAAATCGGCTTATCCTTGTCTAGCGCTTTGTCTATCAATTTCAACAATCAGCCTGCTGAAAGAAGGACTTTCCCACTTAATAATTTGTCCCATCCAAGAGTTTGGCATTTTAAGTGCAAATTTCTAAGGTTTTAATTAATGAATCCAACTCCAAGCGCTCGGGAAGTCAATTTTCCAATCCAGCAGAGGATGATTTTTGTAAAAATTAATTTGTTAAAGAATTTTTGACATTGATCCCTCTCAGATATGATGATTCAATTGATCTTCATTTCAAGGGGTTTTCCCAAAAGATTACATGAGTAACGTTTTATATTATTTTGTGTCACCTCTTGTTCATATTTTGGGAAACCTCTGACGTCTATAGTAAAAAGTGAAAATGAAAAATATATTGCTGAAAATCTAGCAAGAATAATACCTTAGTTGAAGAGGGCGTTCCTGGTTCATCTTTGATTTGAACCTGAAGAAAAAAATTACCTCAATTAAAAACAAACCCTTAAATGCACTAAATCAGTAAAAAAAATACAGACAAATATGTAATTTAATTCACCCTCCCTCACGTCTCAGCAAAGAAAAAAAAACTTTCTTATCACGCTCAATTATTCAATATTTTTTAAATACTTCGCCTGCAATTCGACTGCTTTACGTAACTTCATAATATCCTTCCTCTTAAATATTTGACTGTCCCTTCTATTTCCACAACTATTGTAAGAGAGGGATTGAGATTTACAGTGAGAGAAAATCAGAGAGCTGTCACTTTTTTTATTTGTTTTTAAGATTATTTTCTACGAGTACAAAAACTAATACAAATATCGAAAAGAGGCAAAAATACCATTTTACATCAATTAAGAAGTAAATATATTTAGACAATTTCTATAGGTCCTCAGTTATAGATATACTCAGCAAATATTTAAAATATTTCACGAGGCGAAACCTACCCTCCAAAAATATTTTCGAATTGCTGACTTGGGCACAGCATCTTTAGCGTAGACCTCTCCGACAAACGGACCAAACCGTGTTCCTCTGGGTATGTAACTTGTGCTCCATACGCCCAATACCTGTGATAATCATTAAGAAAATATTTAATAGATAACATTTTGAATTAATCTGTACTATAAGCTCCGAGTCTTCCCTTTGCATATCTGGTAACGCTTGGTTCCAGTGTTCTACCGGGCCGATTTTCATGATTTTTGCGGCTATCGACAGGCCATTGTCTCTGGATGAGCCCATTTTATTCAGATTTTGAGAATATGTCCAAGGTTTTTTTTTTATACTAAGTGGTAAAGTTGCGAATTCCCCCATTTAGGCAATGTAAATTTTTACTTTTGTCACAGTTCGTTTGACCGTTCTACTGGGCCGATTTTCATGATTTTTACCCCGCTGAAATCAGAATTTGAAAATATGACTCAGGTTTTTTTTTTATACAAGAGTAGACCAGAGAGCTTAGAAAGGGGGGCAAAATTTGAAATTCCCACAGATGAAAAAATGGCGGAAATGTCAAATTTAGCGGAAAATTGAACTGATTGTAAGTGGAAATAAATGTTGAGTCTTGGTCTCTCAGTTTGGGAAAGTGCATTAAAGGTATGCTCCTTTGCTACAGACTATCCAAAAGCGACGAACGCTCCGTTTCATTTCTTTCAATTTCAAGGGGGAGGGGGGTCCTCAGACCCTCTGGACACCCCCCCCCGCCCCTGTCAACGCCACTGTGCGGCAGTAATGTACTCACGTCGTTGAGTGCCTGCGAAGGTTTGAGAACGAGGTTCCTGGGCAAAGAGGACTCGGCGCGATTCGTGGAAGCCGGGTTAACAGGCAAATCAGGCACGATGTACACCACGTGACGCTCGAACTCCTCCTCCTTGATGGAATTCAGGTCCCAGGCGGGTCCTGCGTCCTCCCCCTCTTCATCCATCCCCACCGAGTCCTGAAACACAAAATCCCAGCCAATCAGAGGACGTGAGCCGCGGAATCCTCCTCGTAGAATTTCCAATCCGTCGCGATAGAAAATGAGTTTTGCATCGGAAAAATTCGCGTGTCGTAAATTCACCAGTCTTTTCAGACAAGGGTATTCGCTGTCATTTTGACGGAAGCCGAGAGAGCAGTTTTTTTTTTTTTTTTTTTTTTTTTTTTTTTTTTTTTTTTTTGCGAATTTGTGCATTCGTATGGTGCTGCATTTGTGCCGTTTTGGCACAATACGAATTAAACCGTTTACAAGCTATTTCTCAGGATTCAGGAGAGAGATTTTTTCGTAACTTATAAAATCCGAGTTTTGGAACCGATTTTTCGTTGGGTATTGAGGCAATGAGACAGCAACTTTTGGGGTTTTTAATATTTATGGGGAACGAGGAGTTAGCCCGATGCCTCAACCCCTAACCCGGAGGACCAGAATTTAATTTCGGAGTTCTTTCTCCTAGACACTAGACAGGTTACTCTCACTTCAGCTTAGAGCCTTGTTTGCCCTACCTGTTAGGTCCTTGGGGAGCAAGTTACCTACCCATTATCTCTGATGGTCATTCTGCCATGCTAAGGGAAAACGCCGTATAAACCCTCATACGTTGCTAAATTTCTTTTGTAAATCGCGAATTTTTTGGAAAATTTGTAAACATTTTTCCCCCACTTTTTTAGATGATTTTGCTCTCAATTTCACCTAAAGCTCCTGAAGATTTCAAGGAAAAAGTATTCATAGCTTTCCTGAAAGGTTATAAACATTTTATCGAAGGAAATTTGGCAACTCTCGAAAGTTTATACGGCGTTTTTCCTTAGCACGGAAGCATTCCCCTGTCTGCCACCCTGGAGATGCGCTCCCTAGCGATAACAAACTCATCCGAGAGGTTAGAATCCAATCGACAAAAATCTCTGTGCTGAAAAATTTGCACACTGAAAAAAAATTCTCGGCGTTTTTACCAAGGTCCGTTGGCACCTTTACCATCTCACTTTTTTACCAATTATTGGTAATTTTACCAAGACAGACTGGTAAGCTTACCTAAAAACCGGTATTTTTACTGTTTTTTTCAAGTAAGAATACCACTATCATCGGTAATCAATTCCCGGATACTTTGCCATTTTATCTCGGTAATTCTATCACAGTTGATGAAAAATATCGGCGTCTTTACCACGGTCCAGTAAAATTACCGAGAGAGTTCAATAATTTCACCGAAATTTCTCGGTAAAATTACCAATTTCATAAATGGTAATTTTACCAAGAAAAAACTGGGATCAAATAGAACCCTGAATTCTTGTTAATTTTACCCTTTTCCCAGTAAATACACCGAGATTTTTTTTTCAGTGCAAATTATGATGACAGTTTTGTTTTCGTGAACGAAAGTACCTTCTCCCGTGGAGGTCCCGTTTTGAGATCTGGACCGCATACTGTGACACGAAGGGGGAGAAAATAGAGATGCGCTCGGTGCGGACAGTCTGAGGCGACCCCTCCTCGTCCACTTGATTACGTCACCTCTATCTGAGGGGCATGATGCGAATAGTGAATCGCTAACCGCGCCGCGACCCCAAACAATGCAAACACGGAAGGCGAGGGGGCTGAATACGCAAGTTTCAATTGCTCCTGATGGAGGGAAGAGTTACTTTCACTGAAAGGGGTCGAATAAAAGAATCCTGAAAACTTGCGATTACGCACTTGTTGCGTGACTTCCCTGACGCGAGCTGCCACGTTTAATCATAATATATGTTCATTTTTTCCATTGGCACCCGGTCAGTGTTCGAAACTCACAGGCGCCAACGCGCCAAATGCTCGTAAAAATCGGCCATGGCGCCTATAAAATGAAGGCTCTGCGCCAACGTGGCCCCTAAAAATTGCCCCTTAAAAATCTGAATTATTATATTAGGTGATTATTCGAAATTTTCAGCACCACAAGTGAAAGCTTTTTCTATTCACCACGATTTCATCAATTGTGGTTTTGTCATCCCGAAGTTACAGCTACTTACTAGTTCTGTGACGAAAACATCTTGCGTCTAACTTTTCACTAAATGCGCCGTAATATGTAGGCATAAAGTCAATTTGGCCCCTAAAAAGTCTTCAATGGCGCCTAAAAATCAGGCTTGATGCGCCACATGGCTCTTAAAAGGCGAACACTGCACACGGTCGATAGAGTCAATAGATCGTTTTCGATACATCAAATAGGTGAGATTGTATCGATTTCGATTGGTTCAACATGTAAACATAGCCTCAAGAGTCAATCGAGTAATCTGAGGAAACGGGGGTTTTCTGATAGATTTTTGATTCTTATGAGTACTAAATGGCATCGCAAGGTGATATAGTTAGAAATTTTCTCATTTTCAGCTTTTCCGACTAAAATCCTGAAAGTTTTGTTTGAGGTTATGTTCTATTGTTTTGAACCAAACGATACATCGAACCACTATCAAAAACGATGTATAGGAGAGGTCGGACAAAATTTGGAATTTTTAAACGCTTATATCTCCGTTTATACAAAACTTTGAGGCTCCATTGGTTTTTTTGTAAAATTTTCGTCCCAAAGCACCCATTGAAATTTAAAATGTGACAAAATAAACATCAATATTTGCAGTTTTAGTCAAAAATTTCATGTCCGACCTCTCTAGTTGACTCATCCCACTGTGTAGCACTAGATCCTTTCAATTTTTTAAGAATTCGGAGTTTGTGAGGCACAGGGTCTAACATTCTCGTTTTTTAAAATGAGAAAATCCAGGAGGATGCATCAGATGGAAGAATTTCAGAGGTGTCCGTGATGGCTTTTTTCCACTGGCTTGCATATATGAATTCGTGAGAACGAAAACACACCAACTCGAAAAAATGAAAATAATCAATACACAAAATTACACAGAGGGTGGAGAAGTTAGTCTGAGAAAAATATTGTTGGTGCCAAAAGACAAGTAATCAGGGACACTTTATAAGTCCAAGTTGGAACAGATGTGCTAACTTCAATGGCCTTCACAAAAATTGACTGCCTTAAATGAAAATTGAGCATTTTCGGGCACCGAGTTGGTGTGTTTTCGTTCTCACTTATTCATTTGGCCTCACCATTTATGCAATTTTCAGTTAAAAAAGTTCAGTAAAGTTCATAAAAAGAGCCATGATGGCAACGCTCGTGAGTTTCTGCTGAAAGCCGAGTCACCGGTTAAAACACCGTGCGATAGCTGAAGGGGAGTCACTTTCACGCCGTCAACTAAAATTTAATGAGTCTCGTCTAACTTATTTCACGCCAAGTCAAACGAGGTGTGGATTATAAATCGAATTAAGTCAACAAAGATTCAAACAGGTTCCCTCGTTTTATAACCATCGAAGTTCGGATCCAGAACTCCAGACCGCGATTTTTTCATCAGACATAGGGTGAAACATGAATACGGGTCTGTTGTCTGTACATTATCTTAATTTTTACCTACGTTCTCCACCAACACGATGATAATTGGACGTATTAATGCTAAAAGGAACTATATTACACGCAAACCCTATGCACATAGGTCCTTTTAGCATAAATACGTCCAATTGAGGGCGCATAAGACAAGGCACATAATTGCAGTTTTTGAATGAATTGAGATATTAATGATGCCGAGTAAAACTCGTCTTAATAAATGTTTTATGAAAACTTCGCTTCCAAATTCCAATTTTTAAGCATCAAAAAGTCAGATTGGACTTTCCTTTGGCCAAAAGAATCCGTGTAAGTTTGGAACTCCGAACATGCATTTCTTGAAATAGCAAAAACTGCGCACTTAATGCGCATTGCCATCCAAGTCTTTCAGTTGAAACAGTACTTTTCAGGCATCAATCTTTCATTAAAATTCCATGGAAAAATTAGGGAGGATTTTTCCTCTAACTTATCGAATTTTTACTGGTGCCTTAGAAGAGGGCAGGGTAAGAATAATTAAATTTTAATGACAATGAAAAGCATTTGAAGGAGCCAGGATGAAGGAGAGTCTCACAAAAAAGGATTCAAAGTGTTACTAATGTATCAAGTGAATAGTAACCTGACAAAAAGGATGTTCATGTCGAATTTATGTTTAGTTCAGATTTAAAATATGTTAAATTTACTCGACCTTCACGACCTCACAGACTAAGTACATTTTGCAATCATTAACTACTATTTCTGGCTCTTAAATAAAAACACCTATCTGCAGAGGAAAATAATATGATATAAGTTATGAACTGAAACCACGATCGCACATGGAAGGAATAGAGAGAGCAGGGCATATTGTATAGAGTAGGTAGATAGCTTGGGATAGGTTAGTGACACGGAAAGGCAGGCCCAAGGAGGTCATTGCTCCAGTGGCGTGGCGTGTTTTGCGATATATCGATTGATCTGCCATTTAAATGTATGAAAAAGGATCGATAAATAGGGCGTTAGCAACGAACACCTAAAATCATCGATTCTTTACCACAGGTCTAAAATCCCTCTCTTTAAGAAGGCCTTGGATAGAGGGCGCGTTCATAATGTTTTTAATTCTTTGCAAATTTCAAAAAAACGTGATGCCGAACCTTAGGTTGCGAAATAATTGACTCTATTTGAAATTTTTGGAACTTTTTAGTTTTGTTTTCCCCGCGAAATGGTAAGGACCCAGCACCATTTCACTACCTTGTCATTATATAGGGTGTCCCAGGATTCAGTCCGAAATTCCGAATATTGACGGAGTCGATTCCTTGGGTCAAAGAAAGACGTTTTTGTGGTATGACTTTTTTTTTCCAAAAACGCTTCTTCTGGGGGCCACCCCCTCCCCCTTCGCGCTCACCCACGCTCCATTCAGTCGCCATTATCTCGACAAGGATGAGTAATGGCTATAAACGCAACATACATTTTCTCAATATTTTTCAACTATGAATCTAAAGAAGCCATCAAAAATCAATTTTTTTCGCTAGAAAAATTAATTTTGGCCATTTGTAGGTTCGATACCCCCGTAAACCCCCCTAAAAATGAGTGCTCTCTTTTTTGGAGGTCA